GACGAAGCTTCCGGATCTGGCATTCCTCCATCCCTCCTCTGACAAAGGTTTCGTGTCCAAACAGGGGCGAGATGGGAAAGGCGGCGGAGACTGCGGGGAAGTGGGGCTGCGGAGACTGCAGCAACGAGGGGTGGCAGAGACGGGGGAAGATGGGCAGCAGTGGCGAGCAAGAACTTTAAACTCGATTTTTGGTTTCTTCACCATCTTCTCTTCATCTTTTCAAAGATTTCTTTTTTGATTTCTTTGAAGAAAAAGAAAGATTTTTAATTTCTTGATTTTGTAGATCTGAAACTTAAATTTCTTAATTTTTAAATATCTTGAGTTTGTAGATCTCAAGCTTGATTTTCTTGGTTTTGTAGATTTAGATTTGTAACGGGGGAGGGGTCTGACAAGAGATGAAGAAAAGAACAAAGAAAGAAAGAAAAATGAAGGGGAAAGTGACTGACGAAGAAGACAGAAAAGGAAAGGGGTGGGGTGGGGTGGGGGAAGGGTAAAATGGGAAAGTCAACTATTTTTTCACTTAACATTAAAAACCCCACCAAGTCCAACGGGAAGTTTCAACTCGGGCGGAGGGAGTAGTAATAATAATAATAATATGTGGTAGCAATTAACGTAAGAAAAGATCATTATCATCATCAGCTTAATTTGACTAATACTTCACACAAAAACATAGCAGCAAAATTTCAAAAAAATTAGGAAATTTATTTAAGTGTTAGTACTCCGTACAGTCATCCCTCTATCCTTTTTGTCTTCATTATTTCCTGTTCCTCCTTCCAAAAATTATCTCTGCTTTCCATTTAAGGGTTGATGTTTATATCTCTTCTAAAGAAAATCTCAGCCACAAAGTATTGGCCATTAAAAGCTACGCAAAAGTCAAATTGTAAGATAAATAAGACGGAGGGACTAAAAATTAGAAGATTTTAAAAAATAAACATAGAGAATTAATTAGAGGGTGCTTAGTAGGGTCTAGGGTAAGATCACAAAATGAGTGTGAAGGTAATATTTCAACCATACTAAATTTCTAATTTTTCCTTTTTATTTGTTTATTGATCTTGCATTTTATTTCTTCTTCAACAGTCATGTTCCATGAATTGCATTTTGATTTTGCAATATCAAGTATGTAGTTAAAAATGAAAAATAGCAAATACCATATCACAATATTGTACATGCATGTAGAAACAATTCATGAAGACGTTTTTAGAATTTTCATCATATTATTACTCCTGATGAAAGTTGAGACTATAAGGGCATCCAGCATAAGCAGAACACATTGCCACTGTGTTTTTGGATTAATTTATAGCGTTGACAAATTTTATACAATTCATTTGCGCTGTAAATTCAATGCCATTGACTCGGCATGATGATGGCAATTTATATTTTTGCACAGCAAAATTTCAAATATTAAATACGGAGTATTAATAATGAATCCAAATAGACAACAGTTTCAGCATGAATATATCATCAAAATTAAAGGGGGCAAATGCCACAGACAATCGACACACACTATCACATAGCATGTATGGATAAACTCACAGAAACAAGTAGTCTAAGCGCTGTTCCCCTTCTTTCATTCGTTTGTCTGCTTATGTATGATTTTGCTTCTTTCCACGCAGATATAGTGTGTGTCTCAAGTTCCTCCTCTGTTAGGTTGGACCCATGATTTCCAAGCTGTAAATAAGTAAACAGATATCGAACACATCATTGCCTATTTCATTTGATGGATTTTGGTGGGGTGTCCGTGCAATGGATGAGTATTGGGGGAGCAGGGTATGAGAAGGCACATAGAGCAAGGAGTCTTGAGCTCATGGAAATTTTTAATGCAGCATAAATGAGTACAATAAAATAGTTATAGACTTGCCTCCCGCATGATTAAGATAAAATCCAACGCGCTAAGAACTCCAACAAAATTTGCCCTGCTAAAATCCCAAAGTGGAGCCATAGGAATACCCTGAAATTAGCAGCACATAAGTAAACATGCTTATAAGTTTGAGAGAAACCTAAGGATGGCAATTGAAAATTATAGTTTAAAAATATTGTGAGATTGTACAAAACGTTGCGCATATAGAAATAACTTGTTCTAAAAACATACTCCGTAGATTATTAACCAGGTCTAGAATATTTGACACCGGAACATAACTCATGAGAGCTGACGACAAAATACAAAAGTAGAAGAATCACCTGCTCGTGCAGAATATGAAATGCTTGCTTTACAGGGAGTTGAACATCTAGAGCAATGACCTAGAAGACGCAACCAAGTCAATGAAGTATTTTGATATTTTGATCATTTACATTCAAGGAATAACTGGATAACTAGTTTGAACCTTTCCTGACTCAGGAAGCAACTCATAAGCCATATGCGTAGACAAGACAGCAGATATGCGGTGGCGAGAAATGTCCATATCTGGCTGTGATATTCTAGAAATGGCATTCAAGGCACCATCTGACACCCTAACCTGGAACATGAATGCAGATTTCTATTTAAATTTTAAGATATATTAATATCTAGAACAGTAGCAAAACCATTTCTGTTCAAGGCCCGTGACAAGTAAAAATGTTGGGGAAATTATTTCAGTCTTAAAATATGAATAAATGTAAAGAAATTAGACAAAAGAAAAAAACAAATGAAAGGATACTTATAAAGAACACATACAGCGCTTAGACATATCTACATATGGTGATATGTCTTCAAAAAGATACAACAGCAACCTAGTTGAATCCCACAAAAGTAGGGTTTGGGGAGGGTGCCTTCAAAAAGATATTTTAAAAAAAACACGCCTTCCAAAATATTTAATTAAAACAAATTATGACTCATACACTCATACCAATAAGTTACGGAGAGGGCCATAGAACATCTATTAAGGAATACACACACACACACGCACACATACATGATAGCAAATTTTCATGAATCGATTCACGTTTATGACAACGCATGGAATTTTACTGATTAAGATATGAACAAAGTTCAATAACTTTGAGAAAGCTTATGATATGGAACCGAGGGAAGTGAGTGCTTTGGCAGGCTATGAAATACCGAGTGTATCACGGAGATATATCAATAATCAATTACATGTAATCAGAAGCAACGACAAATGCTTGATTTATGAGAAGTGATGTCATATCTTCCTAATTCCTATCATTAAGAGATGCATCAAGAATCTTCATAGAGCTCATCTATGTTGCACGGAAACTCCATATAGGCTGTTGTATGCGTGTCATAAGCCTAGGACACACTGAAATGCGTGGGAGACGCAACGTCTCTGAAACACCAGGTGGCATTTATTTTATTTCAAATTTAAAAAAAACTGTGAGCCAGTAGAGAGACGTCGGGGAGATGCGTCTCCCATTTCAGAAAGGGCTTTGGACACTGTTGGGTAAAAAATGGGGGTCTTTCTATAATTGTAAAAAATTAAGGGCAACTGTCAATTATATTTTATAGCCCAAATGAAAAGATTTTCTCAACCCTAACTGCTTATGCACATCGGAAGCTGCTTCCACACATTGACAAAGAGATAGAATGATAGACTGAGAGACAAAAGCTAAAGAAGGAGAGAAAACGAAGCTAAAGGGAGAAGATGTGCTGGCGACTAAGTGGGAACTTATTTATGCTTTAATATGTTTTGTGATGACTATCTTAATTATTACTCCATGTGTCATTCAAGTTTCAACTTTTGTAAGTTGTAAATCTTTTTAGATTGATTGGATCTAGTAAACACTCAGCTACAAAAGAGTTTGTTGCATGAAATATATTCCGGATGAAAATTGTATAGTTTATTGCACTATTAAGTTGTCATTTACAATATATGTGTGTGTGTAGACTGTAGACACACAAGTGTGTGTATTCAGCATCTCCCCAACACTGTCTCTCCATTTATTCAAAATTGTTGTTTTGGCGTCTCTGTTTTGTCTTGTCTCCGTCCCTGTCTCCATTTTTGGTGCTACATAGGAGCTCATTCCTATAAGCAACAGTTACAGATGAGTGGGAAAAAAAATGAATATGGAGTACCATGGTGTATGCCATTTGTGGAAGATAATGTGATATTTTAGTAGAGGAATCTATGAAAATGATAAATGCTAAGTGAATATATGGAGACGATTCAAAGTCAAGTGGCTTTAAGATAACACCATAACGGATAGAAAGAAAGGGTGGCATCCGATGCGAAATATTTCATATAACTGTTGTTTCGAGTTATTTGAGGTATAATATCACCTCGTGTTTGGATTAAGGTATAATAAGAAATGAAGGTAAATATGTTTACTTTGTATTGTTTGAACAATTGGTTTTTGAGAAATTAAAGTTATATTGTTATAAATTTACAACACCATAAAAGGTAGAAAGAAAATGTGGCATCGGGTGAAAAATATTTCAAAAAAATGGTTGTTTCAAGTTATTTGAGGTATAATATCACCTCTTATGTTTGGATTAAGGTAAAATATAAAATGAAAGTAAATATGTTTACTTTTGTTATTTGACCTATTTCTTTTAGAGAAAATTAAAGTTATAATGCTATAAATTTACAATTTTAACCTTGATAGCATGCACATTAATTTCAAAAATTTAAGTAGGATAAAACATACATTTTATACTAAATAGTGATCTTCCCTTCCAATTATAGAGAGTGTAAAATAATTTTTTTTCTTACCATTCTAACTTTCCCCTGCCAAAAAGTCAAAAATAACAATATATTTTAACTCTTTGTTTCCCTATCTTTTCATTCTTCCAAAACATAGTGTAAAAGAGAATTTTAAAAGACTGCAATTAGATTCATCTAATTAAGCGGAATACAAGATTAGGCCATGGAAAATAAATAAAGAGTTTGAGTGAGGCAGAATTACATATGCTAAGATAGATGGTTGGTTAGAATAGCAACGATAGAGTGTGCACCAAGGAAGATGTCAGAATGTAACAGATATTAAAGATGAAGTAAGAAAGAACAAGGTCATATGTTAGGGTGTGTTGGCCATCAAGAAACAAATGCCCGTGTGAGGAGAGTAGAAACTAGGAGAGTTGACTGTATTTATTGTAACTAAAACTAAAATTTTGGTGGATAGAATTAGACAAAAATGTCAAATGAGCCGAATACAAATGAATCCTCTTTTCAAACCTTGATTCTTTGGGAATGAATTCAAGAAGAGCATAATTTAATGTTTTGAAATGTGCAAGCTCCAGGAATATTATTTTTTTATACTACAAACTTATCAATACATATTAAATACAGGCGCACACACACGTTGCACATATAAAAGTGATGATATCCAAGAGGGAAATAAAAGTATGAATCCAATGCATATTAGAAAGATCAAGTGGCGTGTTGAAATTATGGAATACCACTAGAACAATACATGTGTCATGCACTATATAAAGAGAGGTGACCTGACTATAATTATGGCATCAACGACAACAATGCTTGGTCAAAAGCCAAGCACAAATTATGACAGACTGCTCACAACTAGGCTATGCACCATCAACTCTCTCGGTTTCAATTTAGGGCAATGGAGCTAAAAGAGTCATTTTTATAATCTTTTAGCTTTGAACTAATTGACTAAAATACTAAATCAAAATGGCATATTAAAATTTCCTTCTTGCTATCTATGAAGTTTTGGCCAATATATAGATCAAGTTTGCAACGCATCAAGATTCTAACACAAGAAGGCTCTGATTTGTACTCATCTTCCTATACTTATTAACTTCTTGAATGAAACAAGTCACCAAGTCAAGAGAATCATAGTCTACTAGGTGAGTAGCTTAGTACAGTAATTTGTAGGAGGCTACTTAGTGCGCTCTAGACCTGATCACCAAAATAGCGAGAACTTTCCAATTTTTTGGGTGCTATTGCAAAAAAATGAATATGAGAAAATAGAAAATACTACGTAATGCATACACACAAAAATGCAACCATATTGATATGCTAGAATAATATTCTGAAATAATATTAGAAACAGGAAAAATAAAAATGGTGGTGCATCGAATATTTCCACACAGCAGTCAGAATCATCACCCCAATGAAAGTATCTCTAGTCATTGTTAAATATGTAAGAGAAACCTGTGTTTAGGGTCTGAAAATGCCAAGAAAAGATAGCAGCAACCATAAAAATCGTAAACAGATAAGTTGCATACCACTTGCTGGAAGGTATCATTATCCACATCCATATTGAAAATAGGAGCACTCTTGGTGCTAGACGCTCCAGGAATGTAATCAGTTTCTCTAGGCAAGATGACTGTGTTTACAGTTCCATAGTTTCCCATTACAAAAGGTTGGTTCTCATCATGCCTCCATTCACCATCAACAACAAATTTATACTGCACATGCACAGTGCTAATTCCCAATCAAGAAGAGAAAAAAGTAATAATAAAAATTTGGTATGAGATTACAAAAGAAGAAAGACAAGTGTCTTTCTCAATCTCACATGAATGGATTAGAAAAAACATATGGAACCTCCATTAGTGGAATTAATTCTTTCAAGTTTCAAGAGATTACAAAATATGTTCATGTCTTCAGTCCAACTCCTTCATCCACTTGTTTAGATTTTGTCCACTTCCTAGTCCCAAATAAGGTCTCAACTCAAGGAACCTTCTACCGCTCACCTTTATTCGATTACTTCACATGTTTTAAATTTGGATTAGTTGTTGGGTGAACAACTCCAAAACACATTTGAAATAAGTAATTTACTAATTTTGACCCGGTCTGCTTGGCTTTAAAAACTAGATTGGTGTCAAAACATGTTTGCGCAATGAGTCTATGTACTAGATGAATAAGAATTAAAGAAAGTCAAAATATTATTAAGCCGATTGAGATGAACCTGGAATAGCAGGTTCAAGGTTTCTTGCCAACACCAATGAAGATAAATCAAGAACAGAAAATGTCAAAAAAACCAAATGGAATTGCAAGACTAACCTGGTGACAACCGGGTGGTAGGCTACAGATAGTTTGAAAGACAGAAGGGCACCCCTCTACAGGAGTCATTGGCCACTGTGACCATCTGCGCATACGAGTTCCCCTTTCATGTTAGTAATCACATAAACGAAGAATTAGACAAAAATCATGTAAATTAAGATGCAAGCCATACAAATTAAGATGCAGTTCTATGAATTCTCACCCTGTGAATGTACCACTCAAGTAGACACTTCTTCCTCCATATGGCCACACAAACTGGGTAGTGATCAACACTGTGTCGCCAGCCCCCGCATAATCCATCTCACTAGAATACATTCCTCCACACTACAGTGACCCGCGCTAGTTTGGCTGAGGAGATAATTGGTCAAAGGTTACGGACAAGACACCGCAGACGGAGTAATGTCCGGAGTTCGGAGTGGAGTCTTTCCGGGCAGACGCGAGATGCACGGCAGACGGAGTAAGGGCGCCGGTGGTGTATAACGGAATTAGTCGGCGGCAGGTGGGAATCCGGCGATGATGGAGCGGTTGCAGCGTTGGAATTTGGGGGCTTGTTTTCCTTCGTCGGTATTGAGAGGAGCGATGGAGACGACGAGAGGGAAGCTCCACATTCGACGGCTGCGGTCGTCAGATACTCAGATCTGTTGGGGGCGAAGCCTTGTTTTTTCAGATCTCGGGACTAGGGTTCCTTGTGTGTTGTTTTCTTCAATCCCCTGTACGGTATCTTCTTGTTTCTTTCCTCGTAAATTGGTTTATAATAGAGAAATTTCGTCCTAAACCACATTTTATGTTTCGTGTTTTTAGGAAACCATCCTCTTTTTTTCCTCAAAGTAGGAAACCATCTTTTTTTCAATATAAGGAAACTATTTCAAAATTTGTTGATTTCAAATTTGATCATTATCTTTGTGATCTCATCTGATTATAGGCTAAGTTAGAACTATTTTTTTTTATCTAAAGTGGTCTTATTTGACCTGAATTTTTTTTATCTTATCTAATAAACTGAAATGAACGAGATGTTAATCTAGTGATGGCCGGATAGATGTGACTACTTTGAGTTGGGACATTGAATGTGGGATTTGAATGAACGAGATGTTAAATTAGTTCTTAATATTAGGCAACTTGTAGAAAATTTATGTTGGGGATAAAAAAAACATGGAAAGTATTTTGTCAAATTATTACAAGAACATTGCTTTAAAGGGACACGTAAAGGACGAATAGAGTGCAAGTTAATGGGAGTTGCTTTTATTGTCGCTTAGCGCTGGAATCTTATAAGCATTTATTTATGTGATGCCCTGCAATCGATGAATGTTGGCAAAAAATAGATTGTTGTGTTGTATTTTTGTTTAGTGACTTGTTGATTGAGTGGGTTTGTGTTAACAGTAGTATTTTGGTTAATGAAGCGTTGAGTTTATTGATTATTAGTTGTTGGAGTTTTTAGATTTGCAGGAACAATAAATGTTAGGATGCACTTGGAGCGACGGCCACTTTGGTTGTGTGTGATGTCACCTCTTTATTGGGAAACTGAAAGAGTGTTGTTTAGTGAAATACGTACTGGTTAGGGATTGAAACATTTGCAAATGTCAATTGGACGAATCCAACTACAAAAAGTTAAAGTTAAATGCAGATGCTTCCCTCGCCCTTAAAAACTCTCACATATGCTTTGGTTGTATTATTCGAAATAGTTTGGGAGTTTTAGTTACATCATATGGGATTCCATGAATTGATTAATTTCATCTGTATGGCAATAGGGCACTTTTATTATATAAGTTTTGAGTTTGCTACACAAGTTAGAGTGGTATAATGTGGAGACTCGTGAGTCATGCCCGGCGGGTTCTTTACTTTTTTCTTTAGATTCTAAACTTTTTAGATCTTTTTTTGGCTTCATTGATTTTAAAATTAAAGAATTTGTGTTACACTTAAGGCTCGTTTGGTGAGGAAGAAAGATATGTGTTTTGATATGTAAGAAATCAAATTTCCAAAAAAGATGTTTGGTGATGATAAAAAGGGATTATGTAATATCCTCAAATGGACCATACTAGGGTGCCACCACATGAGTGCTACCACCCATCAAATATGTCGCAACTCCAAATCGGTCATTTTTTGCCGATTTCAGACTTCCCCATTTGACCCTCCCCGGCGATCTATACTCTTCCCTTCTTCAAACTGCACAATCCCTTCTCATCTCACATCTCGCATCCCTGGAGTTGCCGCCGCCCAATCCAAAGATCCAGCTCGCCATCCTCCGCCTCTGTCCTCCGCCCATGTCGCCCCCGCCCAAGCCAAACCTCCGGCCGCCATCCTCTTATTCAATTTCTCAATTTTTATTTCAATTTTTTTTTATCCAACATCAAAATGTTAGAATGAATTGCATACTAATTCTCTCCAAACACTTAAAATTCATATCTTATCATATCTCTAAAACTCAGCAAACGTGCCCTTAAATAGATTGAAGCTTTAATTTTGTTAGAAAATTTGCAAACCCTTGAAGTAATTAAAAAAGCTGGTTTTGTGTATGATCATATGAAATGGCACATAATTCCACCCTCTTTTCTTGTAAATACCTTTTCAATTTTATTTATTTAATGAATCAAATATTTATTGTGGAAAAAACAGCCAAAGAGGATATGTTGTGTATTTTCTTTTCTTCTACTACATAGAATTGTAGTGGTTGAATCTCAATTCAATTTTACTTTGTATAAAATTTATAATTTATCTATACGAGTAACTATTTTTATTTTATTTTTTCTAATAACGTACGTGGTATATGCCATGTTTTACATCAATGTTTTTTAAGATGGCATATTTTTAATTAATTTTAAGAAATCGAAGCTAAACTAGAAAAAATGACACAAACTTTATATGAGAACATAAATTTTGGCTTACACGTATTAATAAATTCATAATAACTTATGAAAGTCACGGGTATATATATATATATACACACACACACACACACCAAGATTCAAGTGGCATTGAACTTTGATGTTATGGGATGACCCGGAGGCGCTCCGGTGCCCCGTTCGTAAAATTGACGGTTCCTACCCCGGTAAACCCCCCCACCCGGCCCCGGACCGAACACACCCCTCACCCCCTTCAATTGCACCCCACAAGTTGATTTTGACTTTGGAGTCAAAATCAACTTGTGGAGTGCAATTGAAGGGGGTGGGGGTGTGTCTTCGGGCTGGGGTCGGGTGGGGGATTTACCAGGGGGTTAGGGAGGGTAGGAACCATCAATTTTACGAACGGGGCACCGGAGCACCCCGGGTCATCCCATGACATTAAGGTTCAATGTCACTTGAATCTTCCCCATATATATATATATATATATATATATATATATATATATATATATATATATATATATATATATATTCCATCGCAAGATACATAAATTTTGAAAAAATTACACAAAACTACATGGTGCAAGTTTCTAGGTTACTGTTAACTCACTCTAAAGCGAATTATAATTTTCTATATTTGTAATTTATTTGAGTTACACACCTATATCTAAAGTTTAAAACTTGTTTGTGTATTTGATGGTCCCATGCACAAAAAAAAACACTTTCATTGGGGTGGATGGTATGGTGAGGCAATCCCATTTGATACAAAAAATTTGCATATTCGGCAATTTGGTTAAGAAGGTAACACCACCTCATCGCATTTGATACCAACAAAAATCGATAAGCAAGTCTATGACTTTGCCAGGCATACTCGGGCATCACCGTACTTCTTTTGCTTTTTCATTAAAAAATTTAAAACTTAATTTAACACAATTTTTTACCTTTTCATTTAAAAAAATTAAAAACTTAAGTAAACAAAACTTTTTTACCTTTTCATTCGAAAAGAAAAAAATTATTTTGACACCATTTTTTACCTCTTTATTTAAAAAAAATTAAAACTTAGCTTAACACTCCTATATATCTGACTTTTAGTATCATTATCGTAGTTAATATTTTTTTGTAGTATTATTGTTTTTATGTTTTTATTTTGTATTAATATTTTACGGAGTATTTTATTTTGTATTGTAGCTTCGTTTAAGTGAATGAAATTTTATCATATTAATTAAATATTTACACTTTATATTTGTATGTTTGCATGGATATGTCTCCCTAAAAACCCCCTAAATGGATATAGTTTCACCAGCACTAAAGGTTGTCGGTGCCATATAGGTAGACATGTGAGCAACTACACTTTCTAAATAAGGATGGAGCCGGCTGTCATCACTCACGATTTACTTAACTAGAACAGAAGTTCCATCATAATTGATTCTACCTATTTCTCGTATTTCTAAAGGATTCCATCGAGCCAAAGGTTTTCCTATGGTTACCCTCTCTCATGAAATAACACTTTTTGGTCCATGTCTCTCGAGAGCAAGTATGGCAGAAGAGGTACAAAGTAACTCGATCAAACGTACGACCAACGAGAGTTGCTAGAGAATATAGAACAGAGATTTGTTAAACATGGTTCAACTCATTTCGTTTCACTGTGTAAAACTCATTTATTTCAACATTATTTTTTAATATAATTCATTACTAATAAAATTTAATATTTAAAAACTATTTAAATATTAATTTTTATTCTTAATTTAAGTTAATTATTAAAAAATTGTTGTAGTAAGTTGGTGAAATTGGCGTCTGTCCACCGCCACTTGATGTACAAAAAATATAAAATTAGTAGAATACCATGCGACACTGTTTTGGATGCGAGAGAAGATTCATTATGAAAAATATGGAGGTTATGTATACCGCCCACCCTTCGAATCCATATGATGAAATGGTGGTGGAGAAGTCAAAGCTAAGACTTGAGGGCAAAACTTAGACAAATTATCCTAAGATAATTTTGAAAGAGTACAACAACTTTTTTAAATGAAGGAAGCCACTTATTGCTCAAAATTTGTGTACGATTCAAAATTTACCGAAGAATATTTTTTTGGACAATGCTAGGTATGCCCCAAAATGGGTACCTCAAGCATTCACAGACACATACAGGCTTTTCATGTGTATAGTGTTAGTGAGTACTTATGGTAAAATGGGGAACTTCATTTTGGGTTGCACCTAGGTTAATTCAATTTTTAAATGGATGAAATCCATTTCAAGGAGATAAATTGATCTTTAATTATAGATTGATGACAAATAGTGAAAACTGCATTTGGTATTTACAAAGGACCTCGCAACGCAGTTAACATAAATTAAATAAGAAGACTCCATAATTATGAGTAAAACATAAGTTATATCCTCAAAATAGGAGTTTAAACTTAAAGTTTTCAAAATAAGGGTAATTAATTACATTTTTGTTTCAATTAATTCTAACCGCACAAAGCAAAATGCCTCATAGAATTCCCCTTTTCTTTTCCTTTTTTGGATGTACAATTGCATCGCTGATGTTGCCGCTGCCTCCATCACTGGCGATCTTCAGCCACCACTCTCTTTACTCCCTTCACCGATGTTGCTCCAGCCCTCACAGTGCCACCCTACCCATCGTAGAGCCGCACTACCCATTACCCCCAACACTGCATCCACACACCCCCATCCGTCCAAATATGAAGTTTAATCCGTCATAAGCCAAGTTCTTGGCGAAATCAATGGTGTCGACCCTTGGCCCCAAACTTAAAGTCGCCACTCGAGACAATTTTCACAATACAAAAATGGAAGTCGATGACCAAGTCTCAGGGCAGTTGGTCATCTAGTCGCCATAAAGGTAGTTGTGATATAAGTGATGGTCTCCGGCAGTAGTGCAGG